GGGGGGGGAAACACAGGTAAAAATAAACCGGGAGTGATCTCCCCTAAACTTTCTCCATTATTCTTATATGGGGGTCATCCATAAATGACGTCACACTCGTAGGGGGGAGGGGGGGGGTCCGTAATTTTGTGACGATGTGTGATAAGGGGGACAGTGTTTCTTTCAGACTTTTTTCTCCGGGGGGGGGGGGCACTTGAAATTTTCGGGGGAGGGGCGGACACTGTTAAAAATATATATTTTCTATATAAATTATATAAATTTCATTTCGTTCGGGGGGGGGGGGGGGGCGGTAAAAAATTTTCGGGGGGGGGGGGGCACCCCTAAGAGATGCCTGGAAGAAACTCTGGAGGGGGGGGGGGTTCAGATGTTGCGACGTCACATTTTTGCATTATAAAAAAGCAATGTTAGAAAACGAATTTTAGACGCTATTTCGCGTTTTAGATAACTGTTTTAATAAATTGTAATAGTTTAGACAAGATTTTAGAAAAAATATCGATGTTTAAAAAAAAACTGCAATTTTGAGGGGGGTTGTAGGTTGAGGCGTGACATCATTTTAGGGGGGGGGGGGTCTGGCTTTTTGTGACGACGTGTGACGGAGGTGAGGGGGTTAGGGTTAGTAACTTGGCCATCCAAAGTATGCTACATACAGAAGCAACTATGGATCTCAGAGAACTTATTATTCATTTTGCAAAATTAAAACCATTTTAAAAAAATCTAAATAAATCATGAGCAATTTTTAAAATGTGTGCTTGGTTAGTGGCGTCACAAGGTCAGGTGTCACCCTGTGCATTTACTATAGGTGTCATCTCATCACCGCTAAGAATTTTGCATAGTTTATTGAAAGTAAATTTTACATTGTTTAGTCATTGTGTTACACCTAAATGTTGTCATAAAATGCGGATCACACCTCTACCCCTACGTTGTGACCCTACTGTGTTTGGTCACATAAAAAACAAAACAAATTACCCTTAAGCCTGTACCATTTTTTTCAAAACTAAGGGGTTGTAGGCCTACATAATAATATAGTATCAGTACGTATAAAATACAAAATGTACAGAATATTTATATTAATTAAAACAGTTGATTTCTATGTTAATTAAACTCCGTTGTAGCCTAACGGCTGACGAAGGGGCTCACTTATAATTCTTAGACGTGTGACCTTGTTTTCTAAAACTGAGTTATTTAAATGTAAACAATACCCTGCGCTTGAATCATAAATATCTGGATACGGGTTAGCCTACACTAGCACTTGAAAACATTGAGTGTGCGTTAATCACTCACCGAAATAATGAGGTAGAACACACTTCGGTGACCACCCATGTGTTAGGGACGTAGAGGAGCGCACTCATGAGATAGCACCCTCCCGTGGTGCCGCCCTTACGAAATTAAAAAATATTTTTTTACAGAAACCTCACCTGGAGGGTTTTACTCAACATCCCCAAGTTTGATGGCGATCGGATGAACGGTATCAAACCGCAATCTATTTTTATTTTTATATACCGTATATAGAGAAAAATCGCACCCTCTCGGGGCGCCGCCCTTGCAAAATTAAAAAAAAGATGTTTTTGCAGAACCCTACTCTGTAGCGTTCTAATCAACACCCCAAAGTTTCATGGCGATCGGATGAACGGTGTGAAACCGCAATCAACTTTTATTTTTATACAACGTATATAGAGAGAAAAAAATCGCGCCCTACCGGGGCTCCGCCCCTGTGAATTTGATTTTTTTCCGCAGAAACCTCCCCAACAGTATTTTCAATAACGTCCCAAAGTTTCATGGCGATCGGATGAAGGTGTAGTAATACATAAAATACAAACATATAAATAAACAGATACACACACATACATGGTAAAATCACAATATAGCGTCGGTTATTATTCACTACAGATAAATATGGATATAATTACTCGACGGATGTCCTTGAAAATGAATACGTGCATATTACTTTAAAGATGCCCCTACAATCTATGGGAATAATTTGGTCACTCTAAAACAGGGATCTCCAAACTTTTCAGTCCGAGGGCCGCATTAACTATCAAATTTCAGTTCGGGGGCCAGTTTCTTCCAGGCATGTCTTTGATTTTTCTGCAAAAAGCTCCTCAGCCATCACCAACAAACGATTTTTCCGTGGAGAAAAAGATCTCCGCGGGCCGGATGAGAGGACATCGCGAGCCGCATCCGGCCCGCGGGTCGTAGTTTGGAGACCCCTGCTCTAAAAGATGCCCCCACCGTATAGGCCTACTAAACAAATATCACACACATTTATTAAGGGAATATCAAGGACTATCATATGACCACCCTTCACTGATGCCCCCTTTTTTAGCGCAATTTCCATTCTGGAGAATTGCGATTATTAACTCGTCATTTCTGGGAATGGATGGATGTCCGCAGCTTTAAGTCGTATCTCCTCCTCAACGAAGCAATATCGAGGACTAGTTCCAAAGCAAATATGTTAAGCAAGTTCCAAGGATGATTGTGGGCCAAAAAAATTCCCGGAATTCCTTCCTGGATTTCCCGGTAAAGCCAAAAAACCTCGAACAAATGCAGTTTTTGCTCCATATCTCGGCAACCAGACCACTTAGCGACTTGAAACATTTACCAATCGATTCCTGCCATAATTTAGACCAATATTGCCGACGAAAGTTTTCAAAAATATCCTTTCGTTCGGTCACAAAAAATTAATTAAGAACATTTAAACTGAGCATCTTGTAGGCCTAGGGTGATTTAAACTGAGCATCGTGTAGGAGTTTATATTTATAGGATGATATTTACAAAAAATAAAAAATTAAAAATCGACTGATACGGGAGGCTAGCCTGTCGCGACGTGGGATCGTTGATCGTTCGCGTCACTGCGCGCGGCACGGCAAGAGAGAGAGAGAGAGAGAGAGAGAGAGAGAGAGAGAGAGAGGCGAGCTACGCGTCGCTCGTTTTTTTCCACGTGCTAATGTTTACAAACACGAGGGCGGGTTTTAATCATAGTCAAATACTGATATAAACGTTTTAATATTTCAATTATTTGGGCACCGTTGCTGAATATATGATTTATCTCGATTTAAAATTGTTATGGATAACATAAGAAAATTGCGCTTAAATCGTCACTAGACTTTTTATTAACTTGTTTTTCTCGTATACGAAGTATAGAGAAAGTATTGTAATCATGCAAAAAAAATTGAGATTTTTGTAAATCTCGACGTTTTACGCCTCCCTGAGTAGGAAAAACATAATTTTACAATCTTGTCCGTATGTTTGTGTGTGTGTATGTGTGTCTGGGAACACGATTACTTAAGTACCGTTACAGCTAGGTGGATGAAATTTCTTATATAAGTATTATAAAAAATGTGTAGTTGTGTATCAATTTTCAGCGATTGACGGTAAACAGAAGTTGCACTTATTCTACTTTCAAATATTTCAAAAGCCTATAACTTGAGTACTAATTCAGATAGATGAATAAAATTTCACATGTAAGTCAAAGATCTAATTTTCTGCCTTTTGTCCAATTTCTAAAAAAACGCATGTGAATTTATAAAGTACTAATAATATTCCCCACTATAATACACATATTTTTTGGCGTTCACTTGTTGCGCAATTCTTTTTTTTTCTACGAGATTCTATTTTATTTTAAAAAGTTTAAGTAATTAAAAATGGATTAAAAAATCATGTCTATATCCCGAGTTGCCATCCTCCGTAGTGTTAAATAAGAATATTCGAGAAAGTTTAGGGGAGATTTCTCACGCTTTATCTATATTCGTTTTGCGATAAGGACAGTGTAATGTCAAAACGAGTGATAGACAATTGAGTGTTACATTTTGTTTTGGGTGAGATTGGCAAATATATGGAAAGTTACGATGACACCATGACACAACATATCGAAAAAACATTTTAATTACAAATTTAAAAAAAAATCTTCCTTCGTGAATGCACGGGGCCTGGACCCCGTCCCCCTCTGCACGCCACTGGCGTTGGGCAACAGCCGTGTTCACCGCCGTGGCGGCGGACGTAGGTATCACGTGATTAAGGGCACATGTTTGAAAGGGGTTCGAGAAAGTTTAGACGAGGTCACTCCCGCTTTATTATTATTTTTTTCTACCACTTTTTGACGTCCTCTAAGTGTCTGCGACCCTCATCCTCCATAGCCTCTGGTTTTAAAACTAGGCTAATGCCTAGTTGTACATAAAAAGAAAATAATTGTTTTTTTTTTTTTTAGATATTGTGCCATCTATCTATCTATATATATAATTCTCTTCTGGGAGCCGCTAAGAAACAAGCTGTAAACGCGATCCCTACCTCCCCACCCCTACATGATCTTAGTGAGCTGTGTTCACTCTAAATGTTTACAAGCAGAGCCAACGATTTTAAACGTAAAAGGGGGGGGGGGGAGAGGGGGGAGGAAGGAGGGGGGTTATGGTCCTTATAGTGTTTTAAAGAAATAAAGAAATATTTTCAGTGGCAGCGTTGGTACTGTCGAATTCACAAATTATGAATTACTGAAAAGTAGAAAATAAAACAACTAAATAGCGGCGTATGTTATGCCGCGGGCCGGCTCGTATATATAATTCTCTTCTGGGATCAGTTAGAAAACAAGCTGCAAGCGCACCTTTGCAGTCCCCTCTCTTCCTCTCTATCACTACCCACCCCACCCCCACATGATCTGGTGAGCGGTGTTCACTCTGTTTACATTTTACAATCATAGAGACGGGTTTGGTGACGACTATTAGGGGCAGATAATTTAGTTTGAAACGATTTTAAACTTAGAGGAGATAACTAAGAGGAGGCTGATTTCACGTGGGGGGGGGGGGGGGGTAGTGTTTTTAAGCAAATATTTTCAATGGCAGCATTGGTACTGTCGAATTCACAAATTATAAATTACTGAAAAGTAAAAAAAAACAACTAAATAGCGGCGTATGATAAGCAGCGGGTCGGCTCGTTTTACATAGAACAGGTCCACACTAGTAGGCCATATCTAGGCCTATAATATAATCAATGAATCTGGCTTGCGCACGCGCAAAGTTAAACCGGAAAGTAAATAATTATGGAGAAAAGTGAGAAACCTTAGGTCTAGATGAGTAGATGTAGAATCTAGATCTAGACTCTAGCTAGATCTAGATCTAATGTTGTGAGTTGTGTACATGTAATGAATAGAATAGATCCAACAGTACATTGTCTTTAGATTAACTAGATCTACGTATCTAGATCTATCTAAAATAGAATATAGATCTAGATAATCTACATTCTAGAACAGGGGTCTCCAAACTTTTCAGTCCGAGGGCCGCATTAACTAGATATAAAATTTCAGTTCGGGGGCCAGTTTCTTCCAGGCATGTCTTTAATTTTTCTGGGCAAAGTTCCTCAGCCATCAACAACAAACGATTTTTTCCGTAAACAAAATGATCTCCGCGGGCCGGATGGAAGGACCTCGCGGGCCGCATCCGGCCTGCGGGCCGTAGTTTGGAGACCCCTGTTCTAGAATATTGGTAATCTATCGACGACGTCGATAGACTATCGACGTCTATGGTTATTCGTAGTTTTAGGTACGTAAAATCGCCCGCGGCTAGATCTAGTAATGTACAGAAAAGTTACCTCATTGTCAAGGCTTTAATAGAAGTATATTCATATTGTGATATATTAATTTTATTTGGTAATCTATCGTTTTGGGTACGTAAAATCGCCCGCGGCTAGTAATGTACGAAAAAGTTACCTCATTGTCAAGGCTTTAATAGAAGTATATTTTGTCAATATATAGGCAAGAAATTAACAGGATTTCCTATATAAACAGCAGCCATTTGTAATATAGAGTTGCCTTCCCCTGAACTCGCGCTATAAGTTAACAAAGAAAGAACTTAAATAAGATGGCTGCTATAGTAAATGAGCATGGTTGCATCTGTTGGAAACATCGCTAGTATTCATTTATTATTGAAAAGTTTTAATTCAATTGTTTGAAAGCAGGTACATAAATGAAACAAGGAAACATTTTTGTATTTTTCAAAACACAAATCCTCCTCAAAATATGAAATAATTATTAAAATTTAAGGAGTCACCTGTTTTTCACATTACTAGTCGCGGGCGATTTTACGTACCCAAAACGATAGATTACCTTTTATTTGTATTAGGCCTAGATCTAAATATTGTAGATAAATGAATAATAAACCGAAAACAATGGTTAAATTTATCAATAGGCCTATAGGCAAGAAATTAGGTAATCTATCGTTTTGGGTACATAAAATCGCCCGCGGCTAGTAATGTACGAAAAAGTTACCTCATTGTCAAGGCTTTAATTATAATATGATTATCGCCCGCGGCTATTAATGTACGAAAACGTTACCTCATTGTCAAGGCTGTAATAGAAGTATATTGTGATATGTTTGTGTCAAATATTATAGATATATGAATAATGAACCTAAAGTCAATGGCTAAATATATCAATATAGTCCAGAAATTGACTTTAAACAGTAGTATCTGCAAGCAAGATTTGCTATATAAACAGCAGCCATTTGTAAAATAGAGTGACTTCCGCCTGAATCTCGGCTATAAGTCTATAAAAATAAAACTAACAAGATGTCTGCTATAGTAAATGAGCATGGTTGCATCTGTTGGAAACATCGCTGGTGTTCATTTATTACTGAAAAGTTTTAATTCAATTGTTTAAAAACCGGTACACAAATGAAACAAGGAAATATTTTGGTATTTTTCAAAACATAAATCCTCCTCAAAATGTGAAATAATTATTAAAATGTAAGGAGTCATCTGTTTTTCACATTACTAGTCGCGGGCGATTTTACGTACCTAAAACGATAGATTACCATATATTTTGATATATTTGTGTCAAATATTATAGATAAATGAATAACTAACCTAAATCAATAGCTAAATATATCAATATAGCCAAGAAATTAACTTTTAACAGCAGTGTTTGCGAGCAGGATTTCCTATATAAAAAGCAGCCATTTGTAAAATAGAGTTGCTTTCCCCTGATCTCGCGCTATAAGTTAACAAAGAAAGAACTTAAACAAGATGGCTGCTATAGTAAATGAGCATGGTTGCATCTGTTGGAAATATCGCTAGTATTCATTTATTATTGAAAAGTTTTAATTCAATTGTTTGAAAACAGGTACATAAATGAAACAAGGAAACATTTTTATATTTTTCAAAACACAAATCCTCCTCAAAATGTGAAATAATTATTAAAATTTAAGGAGTCACCTGTTTTTCACATTACTAGTCGCGGGCGATTTTACGTACCCAAAACGATAGATTACCGAAATTATCTTTAAACAGCAGTGTTTAGGCATTTTGTTGACAATTTCAAAATGATTTTTTAATTAAAAAAAGTAGGACTATCAATAATAATTAATAGCTAGCACACTAATAAACTAAGCCAATTCAGCATATAGACTATAGACTCTATTAACTTTCTGTGCAAAGTCATTATTAATGAAAAAAATTCCGAAGTCAGGTGGCACCTTTCACTGAACTTGACTAAAGGAAAAAATACTTGACCTGTGACCTTCATTAAAACAGACTTTACTTATGTTTTTTTTTAACTATTAGTAAACATGTGCTTAATATTAGCCAATAAGTAATAAAAATTTGACAATTAATTTTAATTACTGTTGTAAAGTGAGATAAACAGCTTAATAAACACATGTTTTCTTGAGGGGGTGTGGCACATCGCATTGTAACTTTTTATTTCTGTGTTTTATGACTATCTGTTCACAATCAGCATGCTATGCTTTTAAAATTGATAAAGGGTAAGTATACCAAACTACAAAACCTGAAATCTAACTAATAGGCCTAATAATTATTATTTTTTAAACTGAAACTAATAATTCATACTTTCAGTTTAAAAAATAATAAAAACGATCATCAATGAAGAAAGCGTAAACATTCTGTTTTTAGGTGTGACATAAAAAAAGCAGTCATAAACCTAGCCAAATGATTGGATTCTTGCGCGGCACACATTTTCCCGCTCCTCGTGTTCACCAAAAAAGATTATAATAAAATGGCATTATTACTTGAACGGACCACATCTCATACTGAACATAAGTTATTACCACTTAATTGTAATGTGTGTAAAATTGATACTTTGAAGTTTCAAATACACATAGTCTGGTTTATTATACACAGGGTATTTTAGAGTAATTTGATTCGAAAGATGAAAATTATATAGAGCTACTTTCACTAAGGCGCCGCTTGCGAGACAAAGAAATTAGGCCAAAAGTAGATCAGACAGTTCTTAATTAACAGACTTAAATAGAAACTCATAAAATTTATTTTATTTATTTGGATTCTAGATCTAGACTAGATCTAAATCTACGCAATAACTAGACGTAGACGCTAAGATCTAGATTTAGACTAACTACTCTAGAATCTATTCAAAAAATAAATTTCTATATTAGGACTAAACTATTTCAAGAATTAATTATTTTATACAAAATCGTTGTTTGGAGCTGGTTAATTTGGGATAAAAAAATTAATTTGAAAGAATAGGCATATTCGCGTAAGTTAAGATTTTAAAATGCGTCTTTCATTCTCCGTGTTTTATAAGGTGCCTAAATAGCTGAGATGATAGTGTACTTAAAACCACGCAGGTGGTGCAGGTTCGAGACACACCAAGTCAAACTTGGTTATCTATTTTTTTTTATTTTGCTCGGGCTAAACTTAAAAAAAAAATTCTATTTGGATTCTAGATCTAGATCTAGATGATCTAGGTCTACGGAAAAACTAGACTTACACAGATGTAGACCCTACCTAGATCTAGAATCTATTCAAACAATACATTTCTATACTAAAGTATTTCAGGCCTTAATTACTTATTGAAATCTTTATCTATGCAATTTGCTAATCTCTATAATATATAAAGCAAAGTTGTCGGGTGCCTGTCAGGGCACTTCCCGGTGCCGCAGGCGCTTCAAATTTGGCAGGATCTTGCCTTAGGGCAACAGAACACGGGGGCCGGTTGGCCGAAAAGTCTACGATGAGGGGGTCTCGACTGACCGGCGCCTTATATGAGCTATAAATAAAAAAAAATGTCCATGGAGGAACCTCTTCATAACTCCTTAGGTCGTAGACCGACCCTCGGGCGAATTAATTAAGCATTCGAATTTTCAATGTTTTCGAAAGCCTAAGCGAAGCTGGGCAGCATGCCTAGTTAAAAATAAAAAATAAATGAAAGCTCTCATTTTGATATCAATGTCTGCAACTGATTATTGGTACCATTATTATATATTATTATAGGTACCTGCTCTGAGGCTAGTATTTGTACCTCACTGTTTGTAAACTGAGGTGAGGGTCTTTCTTTCGGCTAGTGAAAATGTCCATTTTGAGGCCAGCATTTGTAAATCACAGTTGATTACCCAATGTGTCTATCTTGAGATTGTCTGCCCTAACTGAGGCTATGGTTATTGCTTTAAGATTAGTGTCTATACCTTCATGTTGGTAAAAGAATATATCCAATTTAAGGTAAATCACATTTCGACCCCTTTATACGGCTGACGTTAAAGACCTTTCTTTAAAAAAAAAGTCTGCATTTGTTCTTGGAGGAGATTTTCATGGTTGCAAAGGCTTGTTGGCTTAAGAGATGCATGTTTTAATTTCAGTGGAGCAGTCACCTTGATTATTGGCAAAGCTTCCTAATATGTGAAATCTTTTTACTTCCTCTACTTGTGTGTTTATATAAATACGTTCTTCACTATATGTATTTGGCTTCATAACTTTGGTTTGTTAGTGTTTAGCTTGAGCCTAACTCCATTTGCCAAATAATTAGTTACTTAATTCCAAAATGTATACTTAATTGTGTAACACCCTCTACTGCCTTGATAAAAAAAACTTATCTAATGCCTTCTTTTGTTATGACCTAAATGATAGCAAAAGTAAAGTGAGTTTCAAATTACCATCTGCTAGCTGCTTTGCTTTGCTGTACAGGCCTAATAGATAACATACGTCTTTTTTATCATATTGATTTCAGCACTCTAATTAACTAAAGAAAGTAGTTATAATGTTTACAGTTGTCAAATTTAGAAAGCCATTTTAAAAAATAATTAAAACTCAAACTTAATTTATAATATTTACTTTATTAAATACAAAGTTTTAAAAAATTGTTTAATCATGCAAAAATCA